TTTGCGATCGGCGGCAGACCGATCGGGACGAGGCTAAACAGCTCGACCATGCGGTGGTAGTGCTGCCTCGAGAGGGTGGTAGTGCTGCCGCCGCCGCCGCCGCCTCCGCTGCTGCTGCCGCCGCCGCTGCTGCCGCCGCCGCCGCCGCCGCCGCTGCCGCCGCCGCTGGTGTTGCAGCCGCCGCCGCGCGTAGAGACGGCCAGCAAGTTCTCGACCAGCTCGTGCACCCGAGGCAAGGTGAGGTCTTCAAAGGCGCTGCAGGCCTTGCGGTAGGCGTTCTCCGCGACAGAGAGCTCCGTCCCTGCCGCCTCCCGCTGGACAGCCTGCGGCCAGCTGCAAGCCCGCGCGCCGGCTCGCACAAGCTCGATGCGCTGGGCGCTCTCGCTCTCTCCGAGCCAGTCGAGGATCGTCTGGTTCCACAGGGTCACGATGGCAAACGCGGGCAGAGCGCCATGGCAAGCGCGCGCCGAGTCCTCGAACGCGTCAAGCGAGTCCTCTCCTGCGAGCTGCCGGCACCACCCGATCATGGCGTGCGCCCTCGAGCAGTAGGGGTGCAAGTCCAGCGCCGCGACGTAGAAGCGGGTCGCCCCCTCGAGGAGCGGCAAGAAGTTGGGGCGGCTCCGATCCATGCGCATGGCGCGCGCCAAGAGCGCATCGCCGTGCTCGACCTGCTCCGCCTCGACCTGGCCGACAGGCGGGGGCGCGTGCGGGCTCCGACAGGTCGGGCAGCGCGTGCACTCGTCGTCGTACTCGCGCGTGTGCGTGGCGTAGGTCTGGAAGCAGTCGAGGCAAAACATGTGCCCGCAGAGCAAAATCAGCGGCTGCGCCGGGGCCTCCAGGCAGATTGCGCAGTCGTCGTCCGTGGCGCGCACGCGCCACACATCATCGAGGAGGCGCTTCGGCACGCGTTGAGCGGTGGCGCCCTGCATGCTGGAAACGGCGGGACGGCCCGCGGCGAGGGAAATCGAGGAGGCGGGCGAGGTGGTATCACGCGAGGAAGGCGAGGCGATTTATCGCGCGACGCTCGAGTCGCTGTTGGCGTCCACCTGATGCAGAAGGTCTCGTTGGGGATCTTCTTGGGCTTGGAGAGTGACTGCGAGGGCGTACAGGGAGGGGCGTCAGAGAGGTGGGGGTGCTCCACGAATTCGTCTGAGGGCCAACCTCAGCACAGAATTCGCCATGGCCGACGAGGGATTCTGGTCTCGGGCAGGCTGGGAGAGTGTATCGAGGTCTCGTGGGTCTCAGAGTCGGCTCGGGCGGCGCGAGACGGTTCGATCGCACCATCTCGGGTCGCGTGGGGCGGTCGGGAAGGGCTTGGAGCTCGGGTTTCGGAAGCTAAGGATGGACGCCAAGGTGGCGACAATGGGGCGCCGCGAGCAAGGAGCCAATTGTGGCGCGCCGCGCCTCAATTGTGTACTTGACACAGCACCACTGCAAAAAACGCCATGTCTGTGGATCTGTCCCTTTTCGAGCAGCAAGGGTGCAAAGTCGACACAGGATACGACCTTGATGTACTGCAGCAAATTTTCGACGATCAACACTCGCACAGTGGCTCGGCGCCGGGAAGTTTCGGCGGCGCGCTTCCCGCACCGCCGACGCAGGCAAAGCTGACCAAGCAAGCGGCGTACTTTTATTGCTACTACATGTGCGTGCCGTAGGAGTATTCTCTCTCTCTTCATCTGCGGCGCGGCTGCTGCCCGCCGCCCTCACTTCATCCCCACCCCTCACCCTCCCGTGCGCGCTGCTGCAGGTGGATCCACAAGGGGATCCACCCAAAGTGGAAGGAGGCGTGGACGATGCCCAAGTTCCCCTCCCTAAAGATGTCCGAGCGGACCTTCGACCGGCGAGTGCTGCCAATCGGCATCGCGCTGAAGCAGATGAACTACATCGAGTACGACCGCCGGTGCGCGCCTAGACATACCCGCGCAGACACACTCTCTCTCGGCACGTGTGCGGCATCACCACGCGGCATCACCACGCCCTGCCTCGCCTCTCTTGACCAGTACAATCACGGCACACTCGCCCGCACCTCTCTCTCTCTCTCTCTCTCCCCCCCCCCCCTCTCGCCCCTGCCACCTCCCTCTCTCGCTGCCGCCGCCGCCGCCGCCGCCACCGCCGCTGCCTCACCGCTCCGAATCTCCCTCGCCGACTCGCGCACCGCCGTCGCACCGCAGGCTTGACGAGTACAACCACGCGCCGCACTTTGCCGACCGCGTCACCTCCATCGTGGACACGATGCCGGTCAAGGTCCCCGCGCCGACGTCGTACCGCTTGCGCAAGCTGCTTTGGAACCCCAAATGCGCCCCGCTCTCGCCGGCTCCTCTCGGTGACGCCCCGGTCTTACCCGTGCCTCGGCACCGCGCGCCGCAGATGGTTGCTGTGTGCTCAAGATCCAGGTCGGCATCACCCTCAAGGGCGAGATTGTCCTCTGGACAGGACCGCACCTCGGCGTCACCGCGGACAAGGTGATTTGGGATTCGACATTTGATTTGGTGCGTCCACCCCGGCCTCATCCCAGTGTCACGACCCGCCCACCCGCCACGGATCGCCCATCCTCCCCCGCTCGCAGCACCCGCTCGAGGACTGGGAGCTGTGGCTCGCCGACCTCGCCTACATCGGCTGCCGCGGAATCATGACCAAGTTCAAGGGCAAGGACCTGACTGAGGAGCAGCAGATCTTCAGCAACATCCACGAGCACATCCGCAACCGCGTCGAGAATGTCATCTCGGCCATCAAGGCTCCTCCATCCCCACCCTCGCCCCTCACCCCCGCCCCTCATCCCCACCCGCCGCCCGCCGCCTGCTGCCCCCTGTCATCGCCCCCCCGCGTTGACCCGCCCACCGCCCACACAGGTGCCGCACGCCATGTTCCGGCCGGGCGCGTACCGCCGCGCGCTCAAGCACCTCACGGCGATGCTGCACGTCGTTGGCCACACGACCGCCCTCCAGCTCAACCGCCGGCAGCGCTTTGAGACCTTCGGCCCGTGGCCGCACGGCCCGGCGCGCGCCTAGGAGGGTGGCGCCACCCGGCGACCCCGCCGGGGTTTGTCGCGCCCACGGCTCGCAGAGCCGTGGGCGCGACTTTGTAGTGTGTATTAGTTAAGTAGCCGCAGTCGGCGGCAACGCTCGAACTGCTGGAACGGCCGGGAACTGCCAGGAACTGCCAGGAACTGCCAGGAACTGCCAGGAACTGCCAGGAACTGGAGGGTAATTCGAGTGAACTCGGTGTTACTTGTGCCCACTGCGCCTCACCTGGGCCACTCGTGAGCATGCGGGAGTAACCTGAAGCACGTCCAAAACTCGAAACACCCGTTCACACCCGTACTCGAAGTGGCTGTGAAATTTGGCTTGACGCTCTTAAAGGATTCACGCCTCCGCACACCAGGGCCGGGGAGCTAAGACCGACACACATCAACACAAAAACGACCGATGACGACCGATCTCTCCGACTACGAGAAGGAGCGGCTCGCAAACATAGCGCGGAACCAGAAGGTGCTCGAGAGCCTAGGCCTCGTCCGCAGGGACGCGGAGCTCCACGAGAGCATCCGCAGTAAAGAGGCGCCGAAGAAGAAGCGCAAGGCTGACCCAGAGTCTGCCGATGCCGTGAGGGCGGCTGTGCGGCGGTCGGCGCGACTCGCCGGGGCTCCGGCCTCCAGACAGGGCCTCCTGTCGCCCAGCGCTGGCGACTCCAGCACGGCCGGCAAGTCCAGCAGTGCCGACCACAGTGAGGCGCAGGTAGCTGAATCTTTCCTCACCAAACCAAGCCGCTATCCGCCAGGTGGCGTCAGGCTCTTCTCCTCCAATGTAGGCGGACTATGAACGCTGGAGTGGCAAGCAAGCCCGCGCCACCATCGTGGGCACGGCGTCGTACGCACACACCCTCATGAGGGTGATGACCATGACCGAGAGCGGGCTCGCGAACCGGATCAAGGCGATCGAGGACGGGCCGCCGCCGCCGCGCCTCAGCCTCCCGCGGCCAACCGATCTGCTCGCGTCCTGCATAGGCGATCGAGCGCGCGTGCGGCCAGCACGCCGTCGCAAAGATGAAGCTCTTCGCTACGATTCTGGCGCTCGAGGGCTACGTCGGGCTCGCGGAGGACGCGTCGGCCGCGTACGAGCGGCTCCGGGAGCGGCTGGGTGCGCCGTGTGAGGTCCGCGAGGGGGAGGAGGCGGAGTCGTGAGTCCCCTGGGTCGGCGGTCATCTTTTCTACTACGGGGTGCTGAGTTTTAGTTTCGATGAGTTGCACAGGGGTTTGTGCGCCGGGCTCGGCTCCAGCTCGACCACCCGCTCGTTGCCGCAGTTGGCGGCGACCATCAGCAGCGTGATGCCACTCACGCCGTCTCTCTCGCACGTCGCGTCGGCCCGCCCGCCGCCCTCGAGCCACGCCAGCACTCCACCTCTTCCTCGCCTCGCTCAGCCGCTAGCACGGCCGCGTCGGGGGCTGCCACACCGGTAAGCTCGCGAGCACGCACCATGGGTGTTGGGTTCGGCGTCTCTTACCCACGCGCCGTGCCTCGGGGGCGAGCCCTCTCACCAGTAGAGTCTAGAGAGAGGTCTGTCCGTTTTTATTTTGTGGGCCATCTATTGGATCTATCTAGCCCTCTAGCCGCGTCGCCGTCGGCGCGTGGGGCGTCTAGCTACGGACTATGGAAATCATTTACGACATGCACGCACGGCGTTCGTGTGGTTCTATTTGATGTCTTTCGTAGAAGAGAAAGCGGCAGCGCCCGGCTGGAGGACGCACAGGGAGCGCGGTTTGCTAGGCGGTTTGGCTCCTGACGACTACCCGCCGCCTGTCGATGCTGCCGCCTGCTCCCCAGCTGCCAGCCTGCGGTAGTCATCCCGCGCCTCGTCGACGACGATCCCGCCTATCAACCAGGCGGATACTCGCTTCGCTCATCGCTCCTCACCACTGCATCCCCCGCGGCTCATCGACGCCGCCCGTGGAGCGCAGCAGCGCGACGGCGGCGGCCGCCGACACGAACGCGCCGGCGAGCCGCGGCACCAGAGACCTGGGTTCACAGCTCGGCGGCGTGAAGAGACGCTGTTCACAGTGGGGGCGCGGCCGCCCACGGGCGCCGGAGACCGGAGCAAACCCAGCGCGCAAGCGGCAGAGAGGGCGGCGGCGGCGGCGGCGGCGGGAAGTCGGCGGAGAGGCGGCCGCGCGACGCAAACGCGCCATTGCTCCGCGGCGGCGTTCAGGGGCGCGCCGGGCTGCGCGCAGCTGTCCGCGCGGAACAGGAACGGCACGCCGCTGCCCGCACCTATACTTCCGTCGATTGGATTTGAGGTGCCGGGTTTGGTTCGGTACTGCACCACGCAACCGCCCATCGCCGCGGCAGATCCGCACCCGCTCGTCGAGGTAAGTGACGTCGAGTCCGACGGAGGAGGGCGGCCTATAAAAGAAATATGCGGCGCTTCTCTTTTCTTTTTCGAGGTGCGTGACGTCGAGTCCGACCGAAAACGGCGGCCTAATCGCAACCAGCTTTGACTGACTCGTTGTTCGCATGGCCGCCTCGCGCAGCACGCCCGGGTCCTCGCCCCAGCTGCAAGTTGACGAAACGGCCCTCGCGCCCAAACAGCGACACGCGCGGAGCCTCAAAGGCGACCGCGATCGTGTTTGGCGAGAGCGGCCGGCTGCTGTTCCGCCTAGAAAAGAAATACGCGCTGTCAAAGAAGTACGGCCTACAAACGAATTACGGCTGCTGCTCCACCTCAGCGAAGCCAGCTCCGGCTGGTCGAGGTCGCGTCGCCACGCGCCTGCTGTGAACAGCGCCTCCTCACACCGCCGAACTGTGAACAGCGTCTCTTCGTCGCGTCGCCACGCGCCGCGCAGGATCGCCTGCCTACGTGGTGAAGATGCCAACGTCAGGGCGGGAAGACGGTACTTCAGAGCACCGCGTGAGTACACCGGATAAGAAGACAGTGAATGCAGCGGAATCCAGCTGGGTACAGCTGAGTGCGTGTTTTTGTCGAGCGCTGGTTGGAACCACATGAACGCATCTTCCGCTTCTACGACCGGCGACCCAGGCACGAGGCCGAGCAGCCTGAACTGGACGACGTTGACGGCCACGTCGTCGAGCACGTGCTGGAAGAGCGCGTCTGTGCGGAAGAGCGCTCGGCCGATTCGGCCGCGGTACTTGCCGCCGGCGGCGTTTGACCCCTTCGATGACGACTGCCCGACGTAGACCACCTCGGTATTCCGAAGGAGGTAGGGAGAGGCGAAAGCGTCCGTGCCCGCCCACGACTCCTCCAGCGCGCTGATCAGCGACGACGCCTCTGCGCGCGTGGAGTCTGAGGCCGCGATGCCGCGGTCGGTCGGCTCCACGAGCGCGAGAAGCTTGGAGACGGTGTCGGCAGTCGAGCTTGGTGAAGGGGACGACATTCGCGCGGCCGGCGTTCGCACGGCCGGCAGCGGGCGGCGAGGTGCGAGGGCGCACGTAGCGATGGTGGCTAACATACACATGTCGGAGCGCGCGATCGACAGCGCGAAAGAGCAGATCCGTGGGATCAGCGGGCAGCGCCTGGGGCGCCCCAGCGTCGGGGGAAAGAATTTTACAACAAAAAGAAGAATTCTACCAGGCCCCCTCTCACAGGTAGAGCAAGACTGCTCTAGCCTCGCATGTCACTTCCTGTTGTCTGTTGTTTGTTGTGCCCTTGTTTGTTCTTCTGGTGCCTTGGAGTGCTGGGGGGGGCGACAGGGAGGATGTGGCCCTGAGTTATGTGTACGCCTACTCAGGGTGTGTGGCAGCCAGCTGGCTGTGTGTCTTGTGAGCCTGTTTGTGTCTGTGTGTCGCTCGTGCGTGTCGTCATCATCTGTCTAGCGTCCACCCATACCGCGTTGGTGTCCAGTCCGAGCCTGGCTGTTCTTTACCCGAAAGAAAGAGAAGGGAGCTCGCGGGAGAGGTGACGAGTGAACTACAGGTAGTGGGGAAGGCAGCCTCGATTGCCATACAGACATGGGTGCGAAACAACGACAAGACCAAGGCACGGGCAGAGGAACGAGAGAAGAATATAGGGTGGATAAAGCGCCTGTTCACGGCATGGAGGGTGAGCCACACCGAACGTACCGCGCGAAGAGCCGAGCGGAAGGAAGCCGGGGAAGATGACTCCGAGGAGGACGAACCAGTGGAAATCCAGTTGTCAGATGTCACGATGCACCCGAAGGGGACCCCAGCGCCGGCATCATCCGTAGAGGCACGAGTGTTCGAAGAGAGAGTGGACCTGAGCAACAACATGACCTGTAGGCAAATGATCGGAGTGGGAGTCAGAAATGTGGTCCTTGCGCGAGGGGAACTCGATAGACTCGAGGGGCCAGGATACGCCGCGAGGAGGACGGAGTTGCGCCGAAAGGCCAAAGAAGCCGCGAGAACAAGGGACCGGCAGGCGGCGGCGTCGCAGGACGAGGCAGAAGAGAACGACGCGACAGAGGAGTGGCGCCCTTGCTTCGCCTGTGTTTGCGTGGTGAGGTGGTGGGCCTGGGCTTGGAGCCGGACAGCCTCGCGATGCGCTTTTCAAACAAGGCCTTGTGTTCCGGTAACCAACCGGTCAACATCGCCTCCCTGAGCCGCGACGATCCGTGCGCCGTGTCGTCCGTGCCCGAGAATGTATTGCGAGCGCGCCGAGCGCTCGCCGCGCGCAGGGAGGAGCAGGAGCGGGCTGCGGCAGCGGCGGCGTCGCAGACGGCAGAGGACGTTGCAGCGGAGGCGGAGCGGCGGCAGCAGCTGGCGGCGGAGCTCCTGGAGGAGGAAGCGGCCAGGGCTCCGCCTCAACTTCAGGAGTCGGGACGGAGGAGGAGGAGGAGGAAGAAGCAGAGCGGCTTTCGCGGGTTGAGGAGCAACGCAACCGAAGGAGCAGAGGGATGGG